TATGCGGTGCAGACGATTAGGGGGGCCGTGTGAGGTGGTGAATTCTATTGCAAGGAAGTGGTCATCTTCTATGAGGATTGGGCGGTAGGAAAGCCTTCTCTTTATTAGGATTGCCACCCCACTGTGCATCCTCCTGTTGACCTGCATAGTAGAATATCCCCAAAGAGAGATGTGCTGGTTCTGTCTAACTGCTGCTTCATTGAGTAAGATAATATCTGGGTTAAGTCTGGTTACCTCCAGGGTGAGGAGGTATCTGTTGTTGAAGTAGAGTCTGATATTCACTTGAAGAATGGTGATCCCCATTGTTGGTTGTGAGTCGTATGTGTTTGTTCGGCTTGAGTGTCAGTGTTGTTAACTTCGGTTTGGCTTCTGATGTGTGTGTAGGTGGAGGATAGGTATTTTGGGCCAGAGATCATGTCCATGGTTCCGTGCTGGGGTGGGGGTGGGGGTTGGGGGTTAAATGAGGTTTTCCACACGTTGCTGTACAATTGAGGGGTCTTTGTTGTCGCTACTGTTCTCGATGTCCACGTCTGTAGTGCTAGAGTCACTCACAGATGGAGTATTAGGGGGGTTGCTTGCCTTTACCCTGTCCTCACAGGATGAGCTTCGGCTGCTAGTGTTGGCCCTGAGCCTCTTAGAACAATGGTGTGTGGAACTGCGGTGTGTGAGGCGCTGATTGCGTCAAGGGTTCCTAAGGCAAGGGTGCTTGTGAGGGCTTTGAGTGTAATCCTGTCTGAGACTACTGTAGGAATGGTGGACCTGGGTGTTTGCTAGTTTGTCGGGGGTGGAGGGGCTGGGGTGATTCTGGGAGTTTGGTGTCTCTTGAGCGTTGGATGAGGCCTGGGGGTGGAGAGTATTTGGGTTGGAGTTGTTGGGTTGTGCTTAGGCCTGGCCGGCGGCTGTTGTGTTGTTAGGAGACAGGTAGGCCAGCGAGTTCTCGGGCATGTGGACAGGGGACAGACCATTGTCCATCCTGAGCGAGTTCCAGAAATCCAGGAGTTTCACTGGGTTGTTTGGAAATGTGATTTGGGCAAATGTTAGGAGTTTAGCTCCTAAGCTGGGATTAGGATCGGGGTTTGTTGCGAGAAGGTTAGATGTTGAGGCCTGTTGTGGATGGTTCTGGGTTTGCCCTAGTATAAGTGTGAAGTTATTGAGGTGTTGGTTGCTTTGGTGTTGCCCTTGGGCGACCGACTGGGCCTGCAACCCTGGGAATTGGGCCTGTTGTTGGTTGGGGTTACCCCAGGCGTTTACTGGTGGTGGAGGGGCAGGAATGGTGATTGCTGCTTGTTGACGGGCTGTTGTCACCGTTTCTTGTGCTTGCTTGATTGCATCCTGTCTATGAGGACACAAATAAAAGATAGCAATGTGTGCACCATTGCATTGTGAACACTTGGGTGTTGGGCTTGTGCATTCCCTGTAGTTGTGTTCCCCTGCTCACCTGCTGCACTTGGGGATTTCAATGTTGCATGCATTAGAATAGTGGTCATACTGGAAGCATTGTTTGAGATTGTGAAACCTCTGTAGGGTGATTTGGTCAGGGCCAGACTTGATGCCAAATGCAGAAAAGCCAAGGTAGCAGACTTGTGCTGGTTGCTCCGCTGAAGCCAGAGTTAGCTTCAGTACTGGTTGTTGTGGGATTGAGTTGTTAACCAGTTGGACTGAATTAATTTAATATCCCTGTTTTTTCTCCAGATTTCTGCAGATATCTCGTCAACTGAGTGATCCATGATGATGTCATGGATCCTATGTACAAAGATAGTGCGTTTGGCTTGGAAGTTGGCCGGGGGATAGACTGTGATCCCCCTTCTCCAATAGTTTGTTCAGACTGTCGGTCGAAAGGAGTTCTGGAAGGTCTGCATTGTGTACCAACAAGATGGCTCCAGTTGTTATTTTGAACATATTTTTTGTAGGTAATCTGGGTGATCTCATGAATTACTTCAAGTAGTTGGGCTGGAGAACGAGTCTGGCCAGATTCGTCAGTGAACCTGACTTTGGCCGCCATGACCTTGTTGGGCCAGGAAGCCTAGTCTAATCTATACTAAGGTGGATGTTTGTGTTGTGTCTTGGTAAACTAAGTGGCTGGTGGGTGTTAGTTCGGCCGAGGCTGCTAACTTCTAGTTATTAGGCAACTAGAGCTACTTGAACAGTTGGTAATTGAACCTATCGACAGCCTAAGCCTGCTACAAGGCTGTTAGTTGCCCTATCAAACCATCGCGAGAATTTCAAGATCCCAGTTTTGGCTACCGCTCGGGAATGATCGTTTGGAATGGCGAAAAACAAGAGGTAGAAACAGTTTAGACAGACAACCTTATTCACATCTTAATTCTATGATTAGTAGGTTGGGCACTGGGTATTGTGTGAGTGTGTGTGTGGAGTGTTGTTGTACAGGCAGGGAAAGAATGAGGAGGAGGTGGAGGGGGGAAGGATGAGGATGGGTTTATTTGGACATCATTTTGCTGTAAGGTCAGGTTAAGTCTCGTGTCCTGTATACAGCGCTGCTGTATAGTGTAGAATACTTATCTCTGAAAGTATTACTTGTAATACAGGCCCAGAGGAATCTTCAACGACGTTCCTTACTCTCATAATTTTATAATTTCATCACGAAATTCATAAACCGTTTTGTCTTTTAAGGCAATCAGAAATCCTTTGATTGTAAAACATTTGTTTTGTCTTAAATCCTGTTGATAATATGATGGTTAGAGCACTAGTTCTTGGTCTGGTCTGGGACAGGCAGCCATCTCTGGGACACCCAGCATCTTGCCACAGAGTATCCCAGCCATCTCTGGGGGCACCCAGCATCTTGCCACAGGGTATCCCAGCCATCTCTGGGACACCCAGCATCTTGCCACAGAGTATCCCAGCCATCTCTGGGGCACCCAGCATCTTGCCACAGGGTATCCCAGCCATCTCTGGGACACCCAGCATCTTGCCACAGAGTATCTCAGCCATCTCTGGGACACCCAGCATCTTGCCACAGAGTATCCCAGCCATCTCTGGGACACCCAGCATCTTGCCACAGGGTATCCCAGCCATCTCTGGGACACCCAGCATCTTGCCACAGGGTATCCCAGCCATCTCTGGGACACCCAGCATCTTGCCAGAGAGTATCCCAGCCATCTCTGGGACACCCAGCATCTTGCCACAGGGTATCCCAGCCATCTCTGGGACACCCAGCATCTTGCCACAGAGTATCCCAGCCATCTCTGGGACACCCAGCATCTTGCCACAGAGTATCCCAGCCATCTCTGGGGCACCCAGCATCTTGCCACAGGGTATCCCAGCCATCTCTGGGACACCCAGCATCTTGCCACAGGGTATCCCAGCCATCTCTGGGACACCCAGCATCTTGCCACAGAGTATCCCAGCCATCTCTGGGGCACCCAGCATCTTGCCACAGGGTATCCAAGCCATCTCTGGGACACCCAGCATCTTGCCACAGAGTATCCCAGCCATCTTTGGGACACCCAGCATCTTGCCACAGAGTATCCCAGCCATCTCTGGGACACCCAGCATCTTGCCACAGGGTATCCCAGCCATCTCTGGGACACCCAGCATCTTGCCACAGGGTATCCCAGCCATCTCTGGGACACCCAGCATCTTGCCACAGGGTATCCCAGCCATCTCTGGGACACCCAGCATCTTGCCACAGGGTATCCCAGCCATCTCTGGGACACCCAGCATCTTGCCACAGAGTATCCCAGCCATCTCTGGGGCACCCAGCATCTTGCCACAGGGTATCCAAGCCATCTCTGGGACACCCAGCATCTTGCCACAGAGTATCCCAGCCATCTCTGGGACACCCAGCATCTTGCCACAGAGTATCCCAGCCATCTCTGGGACACCCAGCATCTTGCCACAGGGTATCCCAGCCATCTCTGGGACACCCAGCATCTTGCCACAGGGTATCCCAGCCATCTCTGGGACACCCAGCATCTTGCCACAGAGTATCCTAATAATAGATGTAATTTGGAAGGCTTTAACGTGACAATTCCAACCAGGCATAACTTCTTCTATTAGTTTTTTAGAAGGATTCTCTCTCCCCTTCCTTAACCAGCACTGACATAACAGATGAAAAAAAGAGTAATTGAAACTGTTTTGATAGATATTACACTGAAGATTTGTGTTGACAGTTGCAATAATTGATATATGAATATTATCAAGTTTTCTGTTAAACAGACACTCAAAGTTTCTCCAGGTCAGCAATAGTGACTTTCTGCCAGTTTAAATGTTTTAAGGTTGGTTACTGTTCTCACTGTCAGCAGCAACAGTTTGACAGTGAGGTATAATGAAGGTGAAGAATTTGAGAAAATTATCAAAATGAGACTTTCCTCTCCAGTCATTTAAAGGAAAGTCAACGTAATATTGAACTGGGCATAAACAGTTTTGACCAGCACATGCAAAATTTTGTTAAATTTTAAAAGCCTAAGTCTTCTTGAATCGTATTAAGTTTTTCTTAATTTATTAAGAAAATTAACTTATTTTTTATCTACGTGGTTTATATACTTTAAACAAGACAGGTCTCAGGCCAGAGTCCTGAGGACCATTGGCAACGTTTACCACTCGGATTTGTCTTACTCTGTTTCTGTTGAAAAAGTCATATCATACACCACTAGCAAGTTAATACCTCCAAACAACAGGCCTCATAAAATGAGGGCAAATAATATTGTTTATATTGTTTAAAGTTATATGTTACTGTATTTCAAATAATGCATGTATTGACTTTAATAGTTGTAGTACTTTACTATATAAAATATAGTACAGTACTACTTACTGTATCAAAGCAGGCGTACATATAGTAGTTTCTTTACTAAAAAAATTGTTCATTTAAGTGTGTAGAAGGACACTTACTGTATTAAACTACTTGAACAGTAAGCTGCTTACTGTACAAAAGATCTTGTACAGTACGTTACTTACTGTAATAAAGTAAGTGCCCAAAAGGCTTCCTACTGTATTAGAGCAAGTTTACAATAGGATACTGATAATATGAAAGTACATATACGGTAAGCTGCTTAATGCATAATTGTAAGTTACAGTCGGCAACTTACTGTATTTAGTTGTACATTAAGCAACTTACAATAACACAGGTGTATATATGCTCCTGCTTGATCTTGAGGATAATAAGGTTAAGACAGACTAAAGTCAGACAAAAATTCCCAAATGTCTAAAATCCCTAAAATGTTACAATAACTAAGGTCTCGTAACAAATAAAAAGCCAAAACTAATAATAGTGATCCAATAAACAATAGTAAAGAAAGTCATATTGATAATAAAGTGTAGAAAATGCTAATATATCAATTACATACCAAAACTTATTCATAAAATCAGGAGACAAATGCTTATCTATACCTTCCACTACAGACTGGAAGGCTGCTTATCTATACCTTCCACTACAGACTGGAAGGCTGCTTATCTATAGAAGGCTGCTTATCTATACCTTCCACTACAGACTGGAAGGCTGCTTATCTATACCTTCCACTACAGACTGGAAGGCTGCTTATCTATACCTTCCACTACAGACTGGAAGGCTGCTTATCTATACCTTCCACTACAGACTGGAAGGCTGCTTATCTATACCTTCCACTACAGACTGGAAGGCTGCTTATCTATACCTTCCACTACAGACTGGAAGGCTGCTTATCTATACCTTCCACTACAGACTGGAAGGCTGCTTATCTATACCTTCCACTACACATAAAGGGTATAACTACCCGATCTCTCACAGTGTTCAAGAGAGAACTTGATAAGCTCTGATCAACCAGGCTGTGATTCATACGAGAGTCTGCTAGCAGCCACGTCCAACAGCCTGGTTAACCTGTCCGGCAACGAGGAGGCCTGGTCGAGGACCGGGCCGCGGGGACGGTAAGGCCCTAAACGGCCTCAAGGTATCCTCAAGGAAGGTACCACCAGAACAATAAAATACATTCATACCTCCAACATGCCAAAACTCATACAAACAACGTATACAAAAACTCATTTATTCCACCAGCATACTAAAACACATTCATTCCACCAGCATACTAAAACTCATTCATTCCACCAGCATACTAAAACTCATTCATTCCACCAGCATACTAAAACTCATTCATTCCACCAGCATACAAAAACTCATTCATTCCACCAGCATACAAAAACTCATTCATTCCACCAGCATACAAAAACTCATTCATTCCACCAGCATACAAAAACTCATTCATTCCACCAGCATACTAAAATGCAAACACTCGAACATCAAGGCCGTTGGGTACTGTCAACTGGGTGCCAAGTCACATGGGAATAACTGGAAATGACATTGCAGACGATGCTGCAAAACTTGCAACTAAGAGAAGAAATGTAGACATTTACATACCACAGAGTCTATCACAGATTAAGAAAGTAATTAGCAATAGAGCAATGCAGAAGATATATAGTGACCAGTACACAGCAGTTGCAACATCAAGATCTGCGGGTTGGCACAAGAATTACACCAAATACGAACCACATATTTTGATGAAAGGAGTACATCTGGAGTACATCATGTACATCTACACATGTACATATGTAGATTACTGTACATCTACACATGTACATCTGTAGATTACTGTACATCTACACATGTACATATGTAGATTACTGTACATCTACACATGTACATCTGTAGATTTCTGTACATCTACACAAGTACATCTGTAGTTTACTGTACATCTACACATGTACATCTGTAGATTACTGTACATCTACACATGTACATCTACACATGTACATCTGTAGATTACTGTACATCTACACATGTACATCTGTAGATTACTGTACATCTGCACATGTACATCTGTAGATTACTGTACATCTACATATGTACATCTGTAGATTACTGTACATCTACATATGTACATCTGTAGATTACTGTACATCTACACATGTACATCTGTAGATTACTGTACATCTACACATGTACATCTGTAGATTACTGTACATCTACAAATGTAATCTGTAGATTACTGTACATCTACACATGTACGTCTGTAGATTACTGAGCATCTACACATGTACATCTGAAGATTACTGTGCACCTACACATGTACATCTGTAGATTACTGTACATCTACACATGTACATCTGTAGATTACTGTGCATCTACACATGTACATCTGTAGATTACTGTACATCTGTAGATTACTTTACATCTACACATGTACATCTGTAGATTACTGTACATCTACACATGTACATATGTAGATTACTGTACATCTACACATGTACATCTGTAGATTACTGTACATCTACACATGTACATCTGTAGATTACTGTACATCTACACATGTACATCTAATACTTGATGAGAAGTAACCATCTCATTGAGAGATGTACATCATAATCATTGAATTGTAATGTACATCTACATTGGTCTCGTGAGGCAGGTCTCAACAACCAGCTCCTCGTAGATGTGTCCTTGTACATTATTGGTCTCGTGAGGCTGGTCTCAACAACCAGCTCCTCGTAGATGTGTCCTTGTACATTATTGGTCTCGTGAGGCTGGTCTCAACAACCAGCTCCTCGTAGATGTGTCCTTGTACATTATTGGTCTCGTGAGGCTGGTCTCAACAACCATCTCCTCGTAGATGTGTCCTTGTACATTATTGGTCTCGTGAGGCTGGTCTCAACAACCATCTCCTCGTAGATGTGTCCTTGTACATTATTGGTCTCGTGAGGCTGGTTTCAACAACCAGCTCCTCGTAGATGTGTCCTTGTACATTATTGGTCTCGTGAGGCAGGGCTCAACAACCAGCTCCTCGTAGATGTATCCTTGTACATTTCTGGTCTCATGAGGCTGGTCTCAACAATCTACCATATATCAACATAATTAAAATTGTTAAGCGACGCACTGAGCTCTCGGAGGTACTTCTTGTTCTCCTCACTGTCCTCACTGTCCCGGATCTCAATCCAAAGGCTACCACCAGTGACGCCCCTCCTGTGAAGTCCTCGCAGGAGTCTCTCTCCTCCCACACCTGTATATGAGAGGGAACACTGAAGCCCACACCTGGCTACTCTCCCCACCCAAACCTGTAGATGAGAGGGAACATTGAAGGCCACATCTGGCTACTCTCCCCACCCACACCTGTAGATGAGAGGGAACATTGAAGCCCACACCTGGCTACTCTCCACACAGACGCCTGCAGATTACTGGTTACTCCTAACACCCATCTCTTATGGAGGAGGAGGAGGGTAGTGCTGCAGAGGAGGAGAGTAGTGGTGCAGAGGAGAAGGAGGGAAGTGGTGCAGAGGAGGAGGAGGGTAGTAGTGCAGAGGAGGAGGAGGAGGGTAGTGGTGCAGAGGAGGAGGCGGGAAGTGATGCAGAGGAGGAGGAGGGTAGTGGTGCAGAGGAGGAGGAAAGTGGTGCAGAGGAGGAGGAGGGAAGATGTGCAGAGGAGGAGGGTAGTGGTGCAGAGGAGGAGGAGGGTAGTAGTGCAGAGAAGGAGGAGGGTAGTGTTGCAGAGGAGGAGGAGGGTAGTGGTGCAGAGGAGGAGGATAGTGGTGCAGAGGGGGAGGAGGAGGGAAGTGGTGCAGAGGAGGAGGGGTAGTGATGCAGAGGAGGAGAAAGAGGGTAGTGATGAAGAGGAGGAGGAGGGTAGTGGTGCAGAGGAGGAGGGTAGTGGTGCAGAGGAGGAGGAGGGTAGTGGTGCAGAGGAGGAGGGTAGTGGTGCAGAGGAGTAGCAGGGGTAGTGGTGTAGAGGAGTAGCAGGGTAGTGGTGCAGAGGAGGAGGAGGGTAGTGGTGCGGAAGAGGAGGGTAGTGGTGCAGAGGAGGAGGAGGGTAGTGGTGCAGAGGAGGAGGGTAGTGGTGCAGAGAAGGAGGAGGGTAGTGGTGCAGAGGAGGAGGAGGGTAGTGGTGCAGAGGAGGAGGAGGGTAGTTGTGCAGAGGGGGGAGGGTAGTGGTACAGAGGAGGAGGGTAGTGGTGCAGAGGAGGAGGGTAGTGGTGCAGTGGAGGAGGGTATTGGTGCAGAGGACGAGGAGGGTAGTGGTGCAGAGGAGGAGGAGGGTAGTGGTGCAGATGAGGAGGGTAGTGGTGCAGAGAAGGAGGAGGGTAGTGGTGCAGAGGAGGAGGAGGGTAGTGGTAAAGAGGAGGAGCAGGGTAGTGGTGCAGAGGAGGAGGAGGTAGTGGTGCAGAGGAGGAGGAGGGTAGTGGTGCAGAGGAGTAGGAGGGTAGTGGTGCAGAGGAGGAGGAGGGTAGTGGTGCAGAGGAGGAGGAGGGTAGTGGTGCAGAGGAGGAGGAGGGTAGTGGTGCAGTGGAGGAGGAGGGTAGTGGTGCAGAGAAGTAGGAGGGTAGTGGTGCAGAGGAGGAGGGTAGTGGTGCAGAAGAGTAGCAGGGTAGTGGTGCAGAGGAGGAGGAGGGTAGTGGTGCAGAGGAGGAGGAGGGTAGTGGTGCAGAGGAGGAGCAGGGTAGTGGTGCAGAGGAAGAGGAGGGTAGTGGTGCAGAGGAGGAGGAGGGTAGTGGTGCAGAGGAGGAGGAGGGTAGTGGTGCAGAGGAGGAGGAGGGTAGTGGTGCTGAGGAGGAGGAGGGTAGTTGTGCAGTGGGGGGAGGGTAGTGGTGCATAGGAGGAGGAGGGTAGTGGTGCAGTGGAGGAGGAGGGTAGCAATGCAGAGGAGGGTTGTACTGCATAGGAGGAGGGTAGTGATGCAGAGTAGGAGGAGGAGGGTTGTGGTGCAGAGGAGGAGGAGGGTAGTGGTGTAGAGGAGTAGGAGGGTAGTGGTGCAGAGGGGGAGGAGGGTAGTTGTGCAGAGGGGGGAGGGTAGTGGTGCAGAGGAGGAGGGTAGTGGTGCAGAGGAGGAGGAGGACGGTAGTGGTGCAGAGGAGGAGGAGGGTAGTGGTGCAGAGGAGGAGGAGGGTAGTGGTGCAGAGGAGTAGCAGGGGTAGTCGTGTAGAGGAGTAGCAGGGTAGTGGTGCAGAGGATTAGCAGGGTAGTGGTGCGGAGGAGGAGGAGGGTAGTGGTGCTAAGGAGGAGGAGGAGGGTAGTGGTGCAGAGGAGGAGGAGGGTAGTGGTGCAGAGGAGGAGGGTAGTGGTGCGGAGGAGGAGGAGGGTTGTGGTGCAAACGAGGAGGGGGAGGGTAGTGGTGCAAAGGAGGAGGAGGAGGGTAGTGGTGCAGAGGAGGAGGGTAGTGGTGCAAAGGAGGAGGAGGAGGGTAGTGGTGCAGAGGAGTAGGAGGGTAGTGGTGCAGAGGAGGAGGAGGTTAGTGGTGCAGAGGAGGAGGAGGGTAGTGGTGCAGAGGAAGAGGAGGGTAGTGGTGCAGAGGAGGAGGAGGGTAGTGGTGCAAAGGAGGAAGAGGGTAGTAATGCGGAGGAGGAGGAGGGTAGTGGGGCAGAGGAAGAGGAGGATACTGGTTCGGAGGAGGAGGGTAGTGGTGCAGAGGAGGAGGAGGGTAGTGGTGCAGAGGAGGAGGAGGGTAGTGGTGCGGAGGAGGAGGGTAGTGGTGCAGAGAGGAGGAGGGTAGTGGTGTAGTGGAAGAGGAGGGTAGTGGTGCAGAGGAGGAGGAGGGTAGTTGTGCAGAGGAGGGGGAGGGTAGTGGTGCAGAGGAGGAGGAGGGTAGTGGTGCAGAGGAGGAGGAGGGTAGTGGTGCAGAGGAGGAGGAGGGTAGTGGTGCAGAGGAAGAGGAGGGTAGTGGTGCAGAGGAGGAGGAGGGTAGTGGTGCAGAGGAGGAGGAGGGTAGTGGT